AATAAGTTGTAATGAATACTAATTTGAGAACATTTATGTTGGAATTTCATGGTTTATGCAAATGTGTTTTATTAATTAAAATGAAAATTTCTATGAAAATTTGGGTCGTTACAAGTTGGTATCAGAGCCTTGGTTTGAGAGATTCGGGCACACTCTCGGGTGTGTCAGAACTCAAACTAAGGAAATGATGAATTATTTTCAAAATAAAAGCTTAAAACTTTTGAGAAATGGAAAGAAGAGAGTGCAACGCGCGCGATCGGCTGAGCCAAGTAAGTAGTTCCCAATATGTTAGCCATGTTATACTGATATTTGAACTTGATGATCGTATGAGACTTGCTATGTGTATGCTTTTAAAATTGTATACGGTTAGGAGATTATAGCCTCAGAATGATTGATTTGGCCTTATTTCCTGTTCCTCGTTTGGTTGTGGTCCTAGGGTAGAATCTTTTATTCGATAGTCTATTTGATCCTTTTCTGTGTATAATTTGCATGCATAAAGGCAACCTGTTATGATTGGTCTGATTAATATGGGTAGAGCAAATCTTAGGACAGCCTGAGATTTGGGTTATGCAGTGGTTTGTGGGTTATGATTTATTTTGGGGTGAATTGGAGTTATCAGGTAGAGCCTTGGGGAAAAGTACGGGTAGGTGTGGAAGGTAGTATTGGGCCCGTACTACTGAAAGCACAGGACCTGTACCCGAACCAATGTTAGACCTGACAGCTCTAAGAAAGACCGGTGTGGGAAGATCCCCTATATATATGACCTGATTATTATGGTTTATGACATTACAGTTCAGCATGGTGGTGACACGCTTTTGGGACAGGGGGATCCAGATCAGGGTCTGGATCGGGGTCTGGGTCTGGATCGGGCAGCGGTACTGAGCCTATTGATGAGAGACTGCGCGATATCATTGCAGCCGAGGTTACGAAGGGCATCCTTGACGCTACCCCAGTCATTTTTGGGACGGTCAAGGAGGGCATTATGGAGATCATGGAGGAGAGGCTCAGATCATTCAGGGCTGAGATTGCTGCGGGCCAGATTGGGGCCCGAACTCCTTCGTTCCGGGAGTTCAAGGCGTGTGGGGCGCCAGAGTTTTTCGGGGTCTGGGACCCCATTGTCAGCCGACGCTGGGTGACGTACATTGAGAACGCACAACGTATGAGTTCTTGCCCGGATGCAGCAAAGGTTGGATTTGCTTCATGTATGCTGAGAGACAGAGCCTGGGATTGGTGGGGCGAGGTGACTAGCCAGGTGGGAGCAGCCGGTGTGGCTGAGATGACGTGGGCCGAGTTCGTTCGATGTTTTGATGCGGAGTTGCACCACCTATTGAGGTGCAACGACTTGTGAGGGAGTTTCATGACCTTCAGCAGACCACCGAGACTGTGGCAGAGATCACCGCCAAGTTTCGGGAGCGAGCTTTGTTGATCCCACAGTACGCTAGGGATGAGGATATGAGGCGGACTAGATATCATTCCATGCTGAGGGATGATATCCGTGAGTTTGTGAGCTTTACAGGGTGCAAAACCCTGAATGAGATGGTGGAGAAGGTTCGTGAGCGGGAAATAGAGTTGGACTTTCGCACCAAGCGGAAGCCTGACCAGGCACATGCGGCGGTAGGTCAGGCTAAAAAGCCTAAGACCTCAGACACTTCCAACAGGGGCCAGCAGAGTCGTGGCCGGTGTGCCAAGTGCGGTAAACCACACAGTGGGGCTTGCCAGGGGACGGGCTCGGGATGCTATGCTTGTGGCCAATCAGGCCATGTGATCAGGGATTGCCCTAAGAAGGGCTTGCTTCCACTGCAACCAAACCGGCCACAAGCTGGCCGATTGTCCGAGGTTGCAAGGAGGGGGAGGAGCGGTGGCGGCGCCTGCGCCCTCCACGTTGAGGATTACCGATGGCCGCCCTGCCAAGGCGGATGTTCCAGCGGTGAAGAGTCGCGCATTTCGGCTGACCACCGAGGAGGCTTGGGAAACACCAGACGTCGTGGCTGGTACGTATCCATTATTCTCTGTTCTTATTATTAGTATGACTGATGTGTACTATATGCTTGTATAGGGACCTTTTTGGTCAATGGTATGTCTGCTCATGTCCTATTTGATTCGGGTGATACCCGATCATTTGTGTCACTTGCGCTTAGCAAGAAGTTCGGAGACCCAGCCAAGGTTGAGGCTGTGATGCGGTGGGAAGTACCGAGGAATGCATCAGAGATTCGTAGCTTCTTAGGCTTAGCGGGCTACTATCGGAGATTTATCCAGGATTTCTCCAAGATTGATGTGCCATTGACCCGCTTGACCAAGAAAAATGTGACTTTTCGGTGGGGTGCGGATCAGCAGACGGCTTTTGAGGCCCAGAGACAGAGGTTATACGACGCTCTGATTCTAGTACTACCTGAGGGGTTAGATGATTTGGTGGTGTAGTGCGACGCGTCGATCTCAGGGTTAGGTGCGGTACTGATGCAGAGCGGGCATGTGATAGCTTACGCCTCGAGGCAGTTAAAGCCTCATGAGGCGAATTATCCCACTCATGACCTGGAATTGGGGGCAGTGGTGTTTGCCCTCAAGATTTGGAGGCACTATTTATATGGAGTACGGTTCACTATCTACACCGATCATAAGAGTCTGAGGTATTTGATGGATCAGCAGAACCTCAACATGCGACAGAGGAGGTGGTTGGATGTGTTGAAGGACTATGGTTGCGAGATTCTATATCACCCAGGGAAAGCCAACGTGGTGGCTGATGCATTGAGCCGCAAGACAGCAGGGTCCCCAATTAGGGACATTTGCATAAGGATGACGGTGACTTCCCATTTGTTGGACATGATCAAGGAGGCTCAGGTCGAGGGGGTGAAGAAGGAGAATTGGAAGATCGAGCAGATTCGGGGGCAGTATCCTTTGTTTGTGAAAGATAGCCGCGGCCTTTTGACGCAATGTGCTCGAGTATGGGTACCAGTGACAGCGGGAGTGAGACAAAGGCTATTAGAGGAGGCGCACAAGTCCAAGTTCTCTATACACCCAGGAGCTACGAAAATGTATAGGGACTTGAGGCTGGGTTATTGGTGGCCCTGCATGAATCGAGAGATCGCCTGGTTTGTGGAGCGGTGCTTGACTTGCAGGAAGGTTAAGGCCGAGCACCAGTGGCCTCATGGTAAGGTTCAACCACTACCCATTACCATGTGGAAGTGGGAAGAGATCACCATGGACTTCATCACAAAGTTGCCTGGGACGGCGAGGGGAGTGGACGCTATATGGGTGATCGTAGACAGACTGACGAAGAGTGCCCACTTTATTCCGATTTCCGAGAGTATATCCGCGGAGAAGTTGGCAGATATTTATGTACGTGAGGTGGTGGCTAGACACTGGGTGCCCGTGTCTGTGGTCTCCGACAGGGATGTCCGGTTTACTTCCAGGTTTTGGAAGAAGTTCCACGAGGAACTGGGCACTCAGCTACATTTTAGTACGACGTACCATCCTCAGACGGACGGTCAGAGTGAGAGGACGATCCAGATGCTGGAAGACATGCTTCGAGCATGCGTGCTGGATTTTGGAGGGAGTTGGGATACATACCTCCCACTGGCAGAGTTCTCGTACAACAATAGTTATCATGCTAGTATAGACCGCGCCCCATTCGAGATGTTATATGGTCGGAGGTGTAGGACCCCGGTGTGTTGGGACGAGGTTGGGAATCAGGTCATGGGGAGCACTGAGGTAGTGCTCAAGACCACCAGATTGATTCAGCAGGTGCGTGACCGGTTGCGAGTCGCGCAGAGCCGTCAGAAAGTTATGTTGACCGACGGCGTTCGGATCTCGAGTTTCAGGTGGGGTATTTTGTACTACTGAAGGTGTCGCCTTGGAAAGGGATTATCAGGTTTCAGAAGAGGGGCAAGTTGGGGCCTCGGTTCATACGCCCATTCAGGATCACGGCCCGGGTGGGCAAGGTGGCATATCGCTTAGAGCTCCCTAAGGAGCTTAGTCAGATTCACAATACCTTCCACATGTCTCAGCTTCGGAAGTGTGTTACTGACGAGTCCGCAGTTGTTTCCTTGGATGACATTCAGGTGGATGGGAGCCTGAATTACGTCGAGAAGCCGGTCGCCATTTTAGATAGGAAGAGGAAGGGTCTTCGGAACAAAGAAGTGAAGCTGGTAAAGGTACAATGGCAGCACCGAAAGGGCTCCGAATAGACAATGGAGCCGAAGGAGGAAATGCGGGAGCATTACCCCGAACTGTTTACAGCTACGATTTGAGAACATTTATGTTGGAATTTCATGGTTTATGCAAATGTGTTTTATTAATTAAAAATGAAAATTTCTTTGAAAATTTGGGTCGTTACATACACCTAAACACTCGTAATGAAGAATAATCTGGAAGTTGTCCAAACAACATTTCATAAGGAGACTTCCCCGAAGTGTACGCAGTAGGAATATGATTAATAACATAAGTGGCGGCTTGAACAGTTTCCCCCCAAAACATATTGGGAACTTAAGCAGAAAGCAGTAAGGATGTTGCAGTTTCTAGGAGATGCCGATGCTTTCTTTCTGCAACATCATTCTGCTGAGGAGTGTCTGTACAAAATGATTGATGTACCACTACTAGAAAACAGCCCTTTAATGACACTCAAACAATGACATGCACCAATTTATGATACGCAAAAATGTGTGCCCTAAAAATAATGTCAGCTCTCGCAAAATTTAAAGGATTTAGGACACGCATTTTTGCGTGCCCTTAATTTAGTGTCTCACAAAAAAAAACACGGATGGCGTTTATCTTAAACGTGTGTCGTCTACAAGTGTCACTTTCTAATTTTACAAAAGCATGTCTCTTTATCACAAAATTTAAAGGATCTAGGGATTTTTTCAAGAACATTACAAAAACTCACTCACTCAGTGCTCTCTATAATTGATCTGTTCCGCGACCTCACCTCGCCTTGTCAGCAACCTCAGCTTACTTCTCCTCTGGTAAGCGCGACTCCTCTTTAGTAACTAGCCTTCCTTGTTTCCGTTATGTCGCCCCAGGTGTGTTCTTTTCCCCAAAACAGTTATCGCCGCTCTTCCTCCCCCACCCTACATCGAGCGTTACTTTCTTCAATCCCTTGGACTCCCACCGCCGCCACCTGGTCCTTCCCGTTTGTCGATGTCGATCAAGGCAACATGCACGTCATCGTTGGAGTTTTGTATAGCGTTTTCTCCACTCGCCCTTACCAGAAAGAAGCATGCAAAAGTCGAACCTGAAAATTCTATCCCCTCTGCTTCACGAAGGCGACTGGTCGCCTGGATTGTGTTCTTCTTCCCTAAATGACAACCCAACATCTTTCTCCCTCATCTACGCACCACTCCTCCTTCATCTGTCTTTGTCGATGATAAACAGCTGGAGTTATAACTGCTGGAGTTATAACTGCAGAACTTGTTGAAAACAATTCACAAGGGTCCACCAAAAGTTAGAACTCAGTTACTATCTAAACTTGTTTGATAAACAGATGCACTATGGTTGGTATTTTTTTCATCTCTTAGTCGCACCAAAGAAGAAGTAGGTTAGGTTTTTGTTTGATGAAGTTTGTATGGATACAAATAGATCTCCCTCAAACTAAAAAATAGGACCCCCAAAGCTTGGAAGAACACAAATTTGTATTTTGTTCTTTTCCCGACATTGTTGTATAAAATATAGTCTATTCGAAGAACATGTACATGAGTCAAAGAACATGTACATGAGTCTGGTTGTTCAGACTTTTGTGTGATATTTTATAACCTATTTTCTGATTTTGTGAGGTTCAATTCAAAATTTTCGGATTTTTGGCAACTCAAGGCCTAATTCAAGGATTGTAATCCAAGGATTCACTGAAGCGGACATTGACAACGCTCCTGTTGAGCTTTCTTGGTGGTTGAATAATCAGGTATTACTGTAACCAGTATTTCATTGTATTTTTATGTAATTGGTGAATAAATAGCTATTTATTCCATTGCAAAAAAAAACTGAAAGGGAAACCTGAAAGTTTTCTTTATCAAAGTTAAGATTTTGACATAAATTTAGTATTTTTATTAATTATTCTTAATGTATTTTTTGTAGTAAATCTATCGGACCTTTATATCTTAAATTAAAAATTTTGATATTTAGATTATTTTGAACAAATTGAAGACATCTAATTGTTACTTAAACTTATCTAATTGTTACTTCAACATCTATCTACTTCTATTTGTTTTACTTTTTATTGTTGCAATGTTGAATATGATGCCCCGTGTACTTACTTTGGTTTAAACAATCTAGCTATGAAATTTCTTTCCAACTAAATCAAACCACATAAAATCCAAACTCCCAAGTCCTTTTATCTTAGCAAACTTATCAACTTTCATATGTATCATTTTCAAATTCTTCAAGGAATTAAGTGACAAATAAAGAAAAACACGTTGAAACGTTAATGGAATAACAGGTATTGGCAATATTAAAAACATTTGGAAAAACTTTAAATGGTTTATATCTATGATATTAGTTACAACTACGAACATCTTTTGGTTGAATTAGTATTTTACAAAGAATGTTGGATAGGATAAAAAGGATGAAAATTTCTATTTTTGCTCAAAATAATCTCAAGATCAGAATTTTTAATTTAAGCTATCATTTTCATGCTTCATATTAAGAAAACATTGTTGTCTCATTTGAATTCTAATTATTGATAAGTACTTAGAATTGATAAGATACTCATGTAGTTCTGTTTGACCAAAGTAGGTGAAACAACAATTTATTAAATATTAATGAATCAACATAATTGTCATGATTATGACAGGATAATGCATGTATATATGAGTTAGTTTCATGAGTTTATAAAAATTTCAGTCTGATGTTAGATGTTAGTCAATTTATCAGTTTTGAATTTCCTTCATAACTTGTATATGTTTCTATTCTGTAATAATGATTACTTTTTATCTTTTTCAATTATGTAATAATGAGATTTAATTACATGGTGAACAAAGGGATGCATTAAAAAAAGGTATTTCCATTCTTATTTTTTATAACACATTCTACTTTCATTTGATCATACTGTAGCTTTTTAACTATATAAGATTATCTGAATTTTATAGACAAAGTTTACACAAAAGTAAAATTTGGGTAATTTGTTAGAGTTTACACAAATTGTTGCAAATGAGAAAAAAAATACTATTGTATTCAGTTCCCTTTGTTACAGGAAGTACTGCTACAGAAAAAACAACATAAAGAAAATAATTTTAGTGTTTTGGGATCTTTGCGGTTAGGAAAGTACATAATGATGTATTTGATTTTTAAAATTATGTATTTTTTTCTTTTGTTGATATACATAAATTGTCAAGATCTAGAGACATTTATTAATGAAGGTATAATGCTATAATGATGTTGGTTCCAATATTCATACAGATAGTCAAGGTCCAGAATGTGCATGCAACTGCTGCAACCAGACCTGTCATTCTTGAAATCAAAGCTTACCTAAACGAGCTTGACACTTGCAATATATATGGTGCTACCAACCAAGTTTGTTAAGGTTCACGTACTTCTAATTTCATGTCAGTTGTAATTACCTTACAGTAGCAAAAGAAAATTGAGGATTAAAGTTACAGGTTGCAAACCTGGACCTAGGGAAAGAAGGGCTTGCAATGCTTTTGCTTCATTACAAGGTCAAGGTGGAGCCTACCCTAATGAGGTGATGACAACCATATTAAATGGCGCCACCTGGCTCAACCCCACCCTCAAAGAATGTTGTAAAATATGCTATTAGCAGTAGGTACAAACTACAATACATGATCCATATTGACAGATGTAAAGTGTAGCATGGTACTAACCTATTTTTTTCCTTTTTCTTCATTCCTTACGATAACTTTACATTTTAAATGGAAAAAATACCCATTAATATAAATTTATCTGCGTGGGTTTATGCCGCCTTCGGTAAATCCTGTGCGAGATTGATGTGTTATTATATCGGTAGTTATTTTTCTACCATATTAGACATTACAGTAAAATATAAAAAGAAGATTAAATGAAAGTAAGATGTTATTTATATTAGACAAAAAAAATGAAAGTAGATTACCCTTTCTTGAATTTAGCCCAATCAGGGCCAAATGCAAGAAATAACAACGTACTTTCATTATGTTGTTATTCTTTGCAATTTACCATAAGTTTGTTGTTTAGATACTGATTTAGTGGATTTTGTATTTATACCTTGTGAGTTTTATAAAAAAAATTATCATTCTTTTCTTTTAGGTTCTCAAAAGTGGAGATTGCTTTTGTTCTTATAGGTACCTATTCATGCACTAAAGGAACAGATTGCTTCTGTTACTGGTGTATTATCTGAACAACAACGTTTAATCTGTCGTGGCAAAGTTCTGAAAGATGATCAGCTCCTTTCAGCTTATCGTATCCTTTTCCATATCTTACATTTTTTTTGTTTACTTGAAAGGGTTTTCTTTTAGTTTCATTATTGAATATTGATGGATGCTGAAGCTCCTTAATGAGTATGAATCATAGATGTGGAAGATGGTCACACATTGCATCTGGTTGCTAGACAGCCGATTAACCCATCTTTAGCAAGCTTTTTTGATCATACAAGTTTGCTGAGTTCTATACCTTTTCTATCTTTCTATTGAAGTTCAGTTTGCATGAGAGGATACTATGTTTTGTTTACACAAATTTTACCTTAGATCATATCCCTATTCCCTCGTAAACTAGGTGAAGGTCTGATTCCTGAACCATGAATCTAGTATCAGGTACATGCCTTCTATGCTCATGCTACTTTCTCTTTCTATTGTGCTATGAAGCCCTAGTGCGTGACTATTAAATTGACAAAAGTGCTTTACTGGGAACGAGTAGTGAGTACATTTGTAAATAATCTATATTTGTCAAAATTTGGTGATTGACAGTGAATGTTTTATTTTAGATATTTAGGGAATGTTTTTGTAACTTTATTGGTTTTGCGGGGACTGGCAGTGAATGTTTTGTTTTAGATATTTAGGGGGCTTGCGTACATGCATATGGTTGCGGGAGTATGCCATCGGGACTTGAAGCCTCAAAATGTTCTGCTGTATGAATTTGTCTTGTGAAAGTTCTCTTTTTGGTTTTATTTTATTTAATGTTTTAGGGTTAATTTTGTTATGTTTTTTCAGGTTGACCCTTTTACTCATCAAGTCAAGATTTGTGATTTCGGAAGTGCAAAAATGCTAGTATGTTCTAAATCCCCTTCAATTCACTTTTGAAATGTTAAAATTACCATTATGCACTTTAGTTCACTTCTATTATTTTGAAAGCCACTAAACCAAAACCAACGTATAAGTTCAATGGTGTGTTTTTCTCTCTAAAGTTAAAATGTTGTAGGCTATAGTAAACAAATCAGTGAAAGTATGTTGCTGTTTCTTATGGTTTCCACATCATATTTCCTATTTTGACGATATATTTAACTTAACCATGGTTAGGTGAGAGGAGAAGAAAATATTTCATACATTTGCTCACGTTTCTATCGAGCACCACAACTGATTTTTGGTGCTATTGAATACACAACCTCCATTGATATTTGGTCAGCTGGTTGCATTCTTGCTGAACTTCTTCTCGACAGGTTTACATTTAAAAAAATAAATAAATAACAAATCTTATAACATTTTCCATCTGAAAAGGAAAAAAAACATTATTGTACATTTTCACATATTAATTTTGACATTTTTAGCCTCTATTTCCAGGAGAAAATGTTGACCAGCTTGTAGAGATCAGCAAGGTGTGATTTTATTTTTGTTGACTTGAAAATTGAAATTTATTGCTCTATCTTTGTGTTATTTTATAGTTTTTAAAGGTTTATTTATAACTTTATTGGGTTTTGGGTACACCAACTTGAGAAGAAATCAGAGGCATGAATCCAAACTACTACGATTTTAGGTTTCCTCAAATAAAGGCTCACCCATGGCACAAGATATGATTTATTTATTTATTTATATTTTTTGGTGTTCTTATTTCTGATACCTGGTTTATTTTTCATTCCTGAATCTCCTCGTTGCTTGGTAAGATTCATAAACTTGAGTTTAATCAAATAAATAACTCCCTTAATTTCATATAATTTGATCTATATTTGTTTGTTTTTTCTGTTATTCAGGAGAAGATGGGGTTTATTAAGATTGTGAAACATCTTTCCAAGTTTTGCAGGTGTTTTATTTATATATTTCTTCTGAATTTAATGAGATCAAGGTATAAGATTTAATTAGTATCAATTTGACATTTCTGAAAATTATCCTAAATTCCCATATACTTGATACCTATAATGCAATTCAAACAGATATATGTGGGAAACTCGGGAAAACGAGCTACAATTTGATTTTCTGAACTTAATAGTATGATTCACCAACTTTCTACATTTGAATTTAACTTTCTTTTTAGCTTAAAAACATTTAGAATCATTTTTCTATTTTTTTTCTTGTTGGACTATGTCATACACATAGGAATATGGTTACTTTTTCTTCAACACCATAGTTCTATTATTTGATTTATGATGAATATATTATTTTTTGTTGCAGTGTGATTGCATCTATCATGTCTTTTCCAGATTCTTCAACAGTTGAAAAGTTACTATTGCTGCTTAAATCCAACAATGAGGGCCTGTAAATGAGACAAGTCTTGAGCAATTAAGAACTGAAAGTTGTAATAAACTCAAAGTAGAAACAGAAGCATAACAATAAGAAGTTAGGGAAAACCTCTTAATAACAGAAGCAAGAAGATGTCCCTTAATAGCAACATAGTATTAGGTTATATAGTTAGGGAAAACCTCTTACAATCAGATCCCCTTAATACCAATGTATTATAATTTTTTTGACATGATGTTATTGGATGAAATTGATTGTTTTGGTATATATTTGTTTCTATATTTTTGTATTATGCGTAAATGAGTATCGTAAAGACGCGTCGTAAATGTATATCGTAAATGGTAGCTGAAATTTATGACACACATATGTGTGTCATCTTCATTTATGACATGACTTTAATGATACGCAATGTGCGTCCTAAACGCATGTCGTAAGGTTATGACACGCAAATGCGTGTCATCTTCCTTTATGACATGGCCTTCCTTGACACGTAATGCGTGTCGTAATGCGCTTCGTAAATGTGTGTCGTAATTGCGCGTCGTAAATGTGTGTCGTAAACAGACAACGCGCAAAGGCGTGTCGTCTTTTGTTATGACAGGGCCTTCCTTGATACACATTTGCGCGTCGTCTGAGCGTTTTACGACACGCATTGCGTGTCGTAAAAGTTTTTTTTTTATAGTAGTGTACATTGCTATCAGATGCCAATAATTGTTTAAAATCATTAGAGGTAAATTCTCCTCCCAAATCACACCGAAAACATTTTATGATGGAAAAGTGTTGAGTCTTGACAAGAGCTCTGAATTCACTATATATGGTGAAAAAGTCATACCTACGCTTCATAAAATAAACCCACGTATAACGAGTGTAATCATCAATGAATGAAACATAATAGTTAGCTCCTGATTTAGAGGTGATCGGAGATGGACCCCACACATCAGAATGCACGATATCAAAGGGAGCAACAGAACGAGTGATACTTTTATTAAACGGTAAAGCAGAAAATTTTCCTAGTTTACAACCACAAAAATCAGAAATATCATCAGTTTTCAAAGAACCTAACACACCAGTGGAAACCAAAAACTGTAAACGAGACGCTGACACATGTCCCAAACGAGAATGCCAAAGAAAAAAAAACAGACGACGAAGGGTTTAAACGAAAAGACGACAAATCGACACTAGATGCAGCAACATCAACAACATGTAGCTGCTCCAAAACATACAGCTCTCCAAGTCTACGGCCTATCCCAATCACCCTCTGAGACCGAATGTCATGTACACAGCAGAATGAATCAGAAAGGAAGACCCAACAACCAGATTTACACAACTGACTGACCGATGCAAGATTCAAAGCAAGTGTGGGAATGTAATATACATATGTTAAAGATATATAAGGAGTGACAATAGAACCAACACCCTCTACTGACATGGGTGTAGCACTAGCAGACATAACAGAGACAGGTGTACGCGAAGATAATGAAGCAAAAGATGAAAAATGTGGTGACATGTGATGAGATGCACCAGAATCCAATATCCACAAGGATGAAGGAATACTAGACGTGTTGGATGAAGACAGGCTTGAATGAGACATGGAAGCGGACATGGCAGTTGGATTGACAGCAATGAACTATCTGAACTGCTCAATAATCTGCGGATCCAAGGTTGGTGGTGATGTAAAATTTGTTTCATTCTCAACTGAAGGTGTACAACAACATATTTTGGTGGCCTAAAAGATGGAAACGAGGGACGTGACTGTCCAGAAGACTTGTTCTGTTGTGAAGGCTGATACTGTGCAGGTGATCTCGTTTTCTATGACTACTGATTTCCCTTGCTTGTCAGAAAAGGACAATTTGCCTTCCAATGGTTCTTCTTCTTACAGAAAGCACACTCATCAAATGCAACTTTGGGATGATTTTGGTTTGAAGACTGAGGTCGTTGTGGAACAATAAATACAATAGGAGTGGCTGTCTTGGGACCTTTGTCAGCATGAGACTTTATACGAGTTTCTTCAGCAATCAACTCGTGAACAACCGCATCAACAGTGGGAAGAGGTGTGCGATGCAAGATTGATCCACGCAGGCCTTCAAAATCTGAACGTAATGTCGTTAAGAACTGAACCAAATGTTGCTCTTCCCTTCTATCAATATAAGGCTTAAAAGCCTTCAACACATTAGGTTCTGTAAGAACCAACTGATCCCACAAATCCGACATAGCTGCATAAAATTCCTGAACACTGAGATTGTTCTGTTGGAGGGCTCGAATATCAAACTCTAACTGATACTGCTTTGCAAAGTTAGACTGAGTATACAGCCTAGCCAAGTGATCCCAAACCTCATTTGTTGTGTCATACTTCGCCAACTGAGTACCAATAGACTGGATAACAGAATTATTAATCCAAGTAATGATCTTGGAGTTATCAGTCTCCCATGAATCCAGTAAGGTTGCATAATTATCAGCCTTCTCGTCTGTTGGTTTGTTCCTGTCACCTGTAACAATCCCCCACATAGTCTTGCATCACAAGAAATTCTTCATAACATAACTCCAGTAGGCATAGCTCTTGATATCGAGTTGGACACTAATGGACTGAAGAGAATCGTCTCTCGGGGCCTTATTTCCAATATCAGTCAAACGAGAATAACCAAAACAACAACAAATACAAATAGCAGCAGCAACAATTAAGATATCAAAATCAACAAAACCAACAGACGAAACGAACCCTCGAAGTTGTTGAAACGAACAAATCAAATCAAACTGAATATAGAAACGAGCAAGAAAACCATACCCAAAATTGCAAAAATAAAATAAAATATGTGAATAGTGTTGATGAATTGTTACTTCGATGAATAGTAACTTTGATGAATAGTGCTTCGATGAACAGTAACTTCGATGAATAGTGTCATGCCTGCTACAACTCGCCCCCAAAACAAAAGTACAAATGATCAACTGAACTCTGATACCTAGCTAAAAGGCCTAATCATAAAACTCAATACAAGATAAAGCCCAAAATCTTATTAGGCTAATATGGTGCACCAATTGATCCTCAAAAGTACTCAAAAGTGGGCCTATCATATCTTGATAATTACTATTTAACTTTTATGTTTGAATATCATGTTATTATAATAATGTATTTTTATCTTTTGTAATGTATTCCCCAAAGTAAGTCTTGGAGAAAAAAGGGTCTTACGACCTTCTATCGAAACGTGTTCTTTCTTTTTTGTCTACCCTAGGTGTTATTTATTAGGTTTTTTCATGCCTAAACTACTATTTTGACATATGTTCAAGTTAGTAGTTGATTTGGTAGCCTTGAAGATGGTCGATCATTCGGATTTTTTAGAAGACATCTTTTAGTGCATGCTATAATAGTTACTTAACCTTTGTCTCTTGGTTACTTGTTACTGTTACACCCTCATCCTCGTATATTTTGTAAATTTTAAAACTTTAAACAGTTAAAAACTTAGACCTTATCTGCGATTATTTTTTTAGACATTACAAATTATTTTTCTGAAATATTTTAAAATCTTATTAAAATAATTACTACAAATAGCCTATACAAAGGATTTGACGACAAGGCATCTTCACACTTAAATGTAGAAACATATAACCCAAAGTCGTGGGTGTTAACAAAAATTGACCAAGAATTATACAATAAAATTAATGACGCTGAGCAAAATGATTTATTTTTTGCTTTCTTTGCAAAAGAAGATCCAATTTCTTTTGATGATGTTAACAGAGGCGAGGCACTTAAGAAGAGATTGGCTCTGTTGAAGATGACACACAATTTGAAGACTCGAGAGTCGAGACTGTTGTGTTACTCATTTATCTTGCAACTCAAAATAATCAGAATTTGTTTAAAAATGGAATCTACACCTGGATTTGCCAAAAATGAGCAAATTTAATTTACGCAAGACATTGTTGGTACTTCAATTTACTTGAACATTATTATGGAGAAGTTGTTTATTACGTTTACCTTTGTTTCTAGTTTCATTACTTGCACCTAACCATATTAGCACTTAGAGAAAAAAAAATGTAGTCTCAGATTGAATATGAGCTGTAACTAACAACACAAAGGGAAACAAAACAAATAATCCTAAACCTACATGATTTACTACTAACAAACCCTATACAAAATTAAAATAAAAAACAAACATAATATTCGGATCTATAAAATCCACAATTTTCACTAAAAACTTGTCTAATAGATGCCAACAGAAAAAAATAAAAAAACTTCTGGATAAAATATCGTTATTATTGAGAATGGAAGGTTCAACAATCTAAATCCATTAGTATTATTCCACACATACAAAGTTAAACAATTTATTAGCCTTACAAATATATACTTACAAATTGACACCATAAAAGAATATTGAATAATTTCTCTTTTTCCCAAAAGCAAAAAACTTAAACAGAATTATGTGACATGTTGGTGTTATTCAAGTATCCCTCACCCTAAGCTTCAATTCTGTGCTGGATGGTGAGGCTAATTTTGGGCCTGAAGTGTTACTGAATTTATGCACTAAAATCACAAAAGCAGGTAAAAGAATTACGTAAAGTGCCCCTAGGATCAAGGGTGCCAAAACCAACCACCCCAACAACTGTAAAAAAAAGTTTAAAATGAATCACCCATTTGAAGGAAACGAGTTTAATGTGAAATTTTGTAGGGGTAAAATTGTAAATATGCAATGTACCGCATGGAGGAGGCTTCGAAAGATCTCCATAGAAGCTTCACCGGTTAATACCTTCTTTAAAGCATCAGAAGTCAAAGGGAAATGACCTCCACCCATGATAAACTCACCAAACCGTAAAAATACTATCATCAGACTACATCAGTAAAAAAACAAATGATCAAGATTTTATAATGCACAATATGAAAGGAGTGGATAAGTTTTCTAGGGCAATTTTAGGTGATGAAGATGAGGAGGGTATTTACGTCTTTTACCTAAGCTCTAATGGAGTAGCAATAAAATTAGCCAACATAACTGTGGGAGCATTGACAGAAGATCCAAGCACTGCTATAGCTAGCCCACACAGGAACACTGTCACCCCTGTTGCGATATAAGAAGTTACTATATTGCCCTTTTGAATGAAAATTAGTTAAGACTCGACATACCCACTACTTGAGGAGAAAAAAAAACGTGATCATGAATTGTAATTTTTAAAAGTAATAACGCGATTTATACTGTTTTTTTTTTCTGATGTATTATTAGGGGTGGTTTTGAAATAAATCTTGATCTCAGAGAAAAGAAATGATTTATTTTTAAAGATTTGATTGTGTACCAAATGACATGACATAGTTGTTAGAAGGTCAACTTGGAAGAAAAGGTAGGAGCTAACTAACATTTCCAATAAGGACAAAACATATTACAAATAACTATTGGTATTATTTAAAAGAAATAAAGTTTGATTTGAAAACTTATCCAAAGAAAAAACTTCCTTTCATCCCAATGTAAATTAATGATTTACTTGGTGCATAGTTTGATAAGAGTATCAACTTAAGTCCATTTACTAAAATGCTTACCACATAAGTCCAAAATGGAAAAAATTCATGGACTGAAATCAAAGTTAAAATGATATTTTGTGATGACTATTTAATGAGTAAAAAAACAAATATGGATTTAAATCTTATCACAATAGAAAATTTTGATATTATTTTAGTTTTGAGGTACATAAGAACAGGAATCTTATGCCATATTTTGAATCAAATTCGGGAACTTTTCTTAAAACCAAATAGAACATATTTTCAAAATGTATTGAAATTGCATGTTTTAATTTTTTTGATTAAGAAACATGAGTTTTTGTCTTTAGTTCATCGATTAGAAGAAAAATTGAAGCACCACAATGGATGATCAAAAACTAAGTTACCCTGTATATTTTAACATGAATGATCATGACCTTGTTAGATTGCTAGTAGAAGTGAGTTAACATTCTTATCTCAATAAGCATAAAGACCTGTATAGAGTTGATCTATGTGAGCACATAAGTCTAGATTGCAGTTTTTTTTCTCAAGCATAAATAAGGATTTGAATCAAAAGCATACCAACAATTGGGAACACTCCTAATGAAATGCCAAGGGCAGTTGAGAATGCCAGTTGCTTAGGCTCTGCTCCCCTAAAATCCAAGTGTCATAAGCAAATCAGTGCCAGTCAACTTGTAATTAGAGAAAAAAATGTGTAAAATTAGGGAGAAATTTAAACACTCATTGTTACGAGTTAGCTTTCTGAACAAAAGGAATCTTACCCGATGGAAGAACAGTTCACAGGAAAATAAAATAATTGCGATATAATTTTGTGTACATGTTAAATTCAAAAAAAGTTAGGTTTTCTTGAGTTGAATTTGAGCTAACAGGTGCTATATAGTCCGAATCAATCCAGCAAACAAAGATGAGGTGCTTAACATTTCTTCAATTTTGCACTTAAACAGGTAAAATTGAAAACAGAAACTAATGAAAGTTTGTTAGGAAACACGAGTGGTTGTTTACCTGCGAAGGATTTTAACGAAGGGATCAACGATCTTCTTGCGAAGCCAGGGAACCATGGCTCCTAATCCACTTCCCGCCGTATCCGACATTTATAAAATAAAAAACGACGTATACAAATCCGAACTCGAATTAGTTCAAATTCTTCTTAAAATCGATGAATCAAAGACAAAAACTCATGTTGTCTCTTACTCAAAAAGATTAAGACCCGCAATTTTCGATTAAAGGTCAAAAGATGTTGATTTTGGTTCTATGGAAAGTGCCAGAATTCGCTTACAAAATAATGCAGCACACAGTTCTGTTTCTATCGTGCAAAAGAAAATAATATCTCTCTCCTAAATGCGTTCTATCTCCTCCAATCGTTTTCCGATCTTGTTCGGTGTTTCTTTTGGGTTTTTACATGTCGATTGATATGTGTCGAATCTACATGAATCGTTTCCTCTAATTGGAAGTTTTAGGTCGCATTCCATTTCAGCCACAAAACTAATAAATTTTTTATTTGGACCACTATACTAAATATCTCACATTGTGATGTGACTCGCAATAACACCAAAACAATTTTATCTCCATACGACCATAACTTAATCATATAAATCATGCATTTGAAGTCGATCAGTTTACGTAATAAAGCTACTGTGCATCTCACGTGCGATGCGAATTCAAATATTTTTGAACTATTATTATGAATTTGATTAAAAAATTGATATATTAGACGTTCCATAATCAACTTCCTTTCGTCTACCAGGCGGACTTGACAAATACGTTTCATTTTTTATAAAATCCTACTCCTATGGTCTTGGTATACCCCTAGAGGGACTTGAACCCTCGTTTTCTCCGTGAAAGAGAGAGGTCGTAACCACTGGACCATAGGGGCCTATGGCCACCTTTAGGAAATCAAAAAGCACTTGGGGTAATTTACACGTTTGGTCTCTAGCTTATTTTTTTAACTTGGAAGGTCCCTACAGTTTGTTTTTGTTGCACGCTTGGTCCTTGTCTTACCTAAAAATACTATTTTGTCCTTGATTTTTTAATTTGTTTAAATAAAAACACCCCCAACCCCACTTCTACCTCACATTACCTTACCTTACTTACTCCACCTTATTTAAATAAATTAAAAAAATCAAGGGCAAAATAGTATTTTTAGGTAAGACATGGACCAAATACGCAACAAAAGCAAACTGTAGGGACCTTCCGAGTTAAGAAAATAAGTTAGGAATCCAATGTGCAAATTATCCCAAACCATAAGGACCATTCGTGTAATTTACTCTAATATAAATCAGCTGATAAAGGGAAAATGACATAAATGCCCTACAAACTTTTTAGGGTTTACCCGTTGAGCCCTTAAAGTTTTTGGCGGGCTTTATGGGTCCCTAAACTAGGATATGATCTGCTCTTTTAGTCCTTATCAACCTGTAATAGTCGGTCCAGTGACCTTTTAGACCAAAAAAACTCACATTGTACCCTTATAAAACCAAAAAAATAAGTTTCGGGATCAATTCGTACCAAAAATTAAAAAAAAAAAAACTCATTTCTTTTCTTCTAAAGCCCATTTCCAGTAGCTTTGACACTGCTTTTGGGGTTCTATGCGCTATATGTGCTTGCATTTTATTTACTGAATTGATAGCTATGTTTGTTGATAAATCGAGATTTGATTATGGAAAATCAAATTATAAGTGGTCAATCGACATGATTATTATTGTGCAATTAATTGGGGCAATAGTAGGTAGTATAACACCGATTTTTAGATGTTTGACTGCCATAACTCATTTCAACCTCTCCACGAAATGGAGCAAGAACCATCTAAACGTTTTCAGAGTCGAGAAGCACCTGATCCAAATGCTTCAGCTGTGGAAACGCAACCATGTCCCTTCATATATCCCAGGCTGCCATTGCAAAAAGATTTACCGTAACATCAAATACTTGATTTTGAATATTTGTATGGCATTTCAGACAACAGTTGCGGTGATATGCAACACAACATGTCTCATTCCCAGATCTTTTCTGATCTTACTTTCTTATAGTTACTATTTCTGCAAATCGTTGTTGAAAAAGTCCATGGGAGAACCATATGCATCTCTTGACGAATAGGCTTTAGAAGAAAAGAAAGAGAGTTTTTTTTTGTACGAATTGATCCTCATACTTGTTTTTTTGGCTTTATATCGGCACAATATGTGTTGTTTTGGTCTAAAAGGTCACTCAACCGGCTATTACAGGTTGACAGAGACTAAAAGAGCAGGTCATATCCTAGTTTAGGGACCCAGAAAGCCCGACAAAAACTTTAGGGACTCAACGAGTAAACCTTAGAAAGTTTGTAGGGCATTTATGTCATTTTCCCTTTGATAAATGTTATATATTTTAATGTTATATTAATTATTTAATATTATATTTGTAACTTCCTTTATCATTTTTATTAAGTATGTTTGATAAATGTTATATATTTTTTTATGTCTGTTTTTTAACATTTTTGTATCTTAAATAAATATTTAGTTGTTTTGAAAAAAAAATTATTAAAATAAAAAATTTATAAATTTTATTTATTAAATAAAAATGATTTTAATTGGGTTGTATAGGTAGAAAAAAGAATGGTTTTAATGAATATTTGGGTTGATTTTGGTTATGAAGGGGATAGTCCTAAGAGAGTATAATATATATATAAAAAATATAATAGGGCAAATTGCATAAAAGACATTGAGTTTACATAAAATTTTGATTTTCACACTATGTTTTATTTTTTCTTAATTAAATTACTAAGTTTAAATTTTTGTTGCAAATTTAACCAATCGACCGGTTTGTTTTATGTTTTTATGTTTCTTACAGGATGTTTGGGAATACTTTTTAAATGACTTTTGCCTTTTAACTTTTCTAAAAAGTTATAAAGATGTTTGGAAGATGCAAGAGTTTTTTTCAAAATAACTTTTTGTAAAGAAGAAAAGAGTGAGTTTTCAAAAGTCAAGAAAGTGTGACTTTTTGTAACTTTTGGACTTTTAAAGCTAAATCACACTCAAAAGTAAAAAAAAATACCCAAACACTTTTTAAAACAACTTTTGGCTTTTGTTTCCTCAAAAAAACTTTTACAAAAAGAATTTTTAGGCTTAAAAAGTAATCCCAAACACCCCTTACTTGCTGACAAGGCAAAAAGCTTATGTGACTTATACTGTTGGGTTTTTTATGCATCAAATACACTCTAAAACTAGGTAGCGGAAAAATCGAAACAACGATATACCTAAGTGTACATGCATCCTATGGATCTATGACTTCATGTTAATTACATCAACCCTAGAAAACTAAAACATAAGTAAGAAAACATACCTCTTATATAGCCCTTGATCTCCAAACCATTGGTTTTTTATTTCGATTTCGGTTTTTCGTTTTTTTTAATATATATTTTCGGGGTTTTGTTTTTTTTATTTCATAGATTTCTTCATTAACAAATGTTGCTAGAATTTAACAAAAATAAATAATTTGCTAAAACATAATACAAGAGGAAATTTATTCACATTTAGTCATTGAACTTTTTTAGAGGGAAACGAACTTTCGATTTTGTTCACATTTAGTCACTAAACTTTTTTTCGTTATCTATTTGCCACTGAACTATTGAAATTGTTCACATTTTTACCCTTATGTAATAATATCATTGTAATTTAAAATAAAGTAAAATAAAATAAGTTGTATAGGCTTCTTTAAATATTTTTCTTTTCCTTCTCCCTCCCTTTTTCTACGGATAGAACTGGAACTACTGAGGTAGATTAATTGATTGTGAATCACATTACAGATTGATATATTTTTGTTACGTGAGGTTGTTGAAGATTTCGAGGATGGAGGAGTACTTACAGTACATGAAAACTTTACGCTCTCATATGAACGGTGAATCCCTCTATACATTATTGAATTGCGAAATTGTTTCGTAGTTAGTATTTTGTAAGTGATGAATTGATGATGTGTTTTTATATTGTATGATGATGTGATTGAAGACGTTGAGGATCAAGCAGCGAAGGTTTCTGTCGAAGAGCAAACACAGATCACTACTATTCAGACTCTGAAGAACGAGGTTGATTTAGGTATCTGAGTTTCTACTTTCTTTTGCAAATATATTCAGAAGCATACGTTCACCCTTTGCTGTAGATATAATTGTAGTTTTTTGATGCCTAATTATATAAATTTGGATCAGATCAATGTTAGTTTAACTCTAGCATCTAGTCGAGGATCGTAGTATTGTTCTGTAATTGCTCATGGTGCGAGTTATTGAAATACTGAGATAGGAAAAAGCCTAATACGATGTCCTTTTGCAACATTGCTTAATTAAACGAATATATGGTTTCTATTTGGTCGTATTTTTCAAATTTTGATAGCAAAGGATAAATCTCTTACCATGATTTAGTTATCATCCATCATAAACTCATTATTAGACAGGTCTAATAAATCTAATGTGGTTATTAACTACCACATCTATTTTTTCCTCCCTACCAAATTATCTCAAAACTTGTATTCTAACTCAAAATTCACATTTCTGAAAACAAAATGTGGATGTCATACATGTGTAACACTCATTTCTGTGAAACTTGCAGCTAAATCTGAAACAAAGCTACTAAAGGAGGATTCTGACCTAATGATGAAGGGAAAGGGACACATATGTTCTCAGATTTTAGAAAGACGAAATAAAATTGCTTTGTTGGAAAATGATTCGTCCACACTTTCACAGGTAGGGTTTATTTGATTCATTTCTATTGAAATAATAAAACAGAAAGTGGGTATTTCTACTAAAGTTTGAGATGGGGGAAACTTTAATGATACTTTGACAAGATAATGGACTTCCAAAAGTCTACTAAAGTAAGGCCTCAGACATTCAGAAGATAAGTGAAAAGTCTTGAGGTTTTTACATAAGGATGATTTCAATTGGAGTGTAATTTTTACAATAATCCTACAGCATGTCAAGTTAGTGATTAATAAGGTCTTAGTTACTGTATTTCTTATGTTTTGATTCTACCAAAAAAACAGACATTGGAGCTTATCCAACAGGAAAGATGCAACTTGTCAGCCAAACTTGTTGAGAAGCGGTAATTATAAAGACATAATACTGAAAATGGATATAAATGATGGGCATTATGTAGTACTGATTTGCTTTGCTTAATGTAACAGTACATTCTATGGCATGACTGAAGAGGAGATCAACACCAAATTAAAAGAACAACAGGTCTGTATTTTTTTTCTTTGCATTATGTATTTTTGCTGGTGGTATACAACAACAGTCAAGTAATAAATAAACTTTCTTGAATTGCATAGGACTGGTTGGATTCATACAAGTCTAGCTCAGAGATTGGAGACCATGGTTTGGTAATTTCTGATCTATACGTGTTCCATGGTCAAATAGCAACATACTTTACTCTTTGTCTTTCTACCTGTAGAGGCAATGTACTTTATATTAAGACTTTTCACTATAGCAACAAACTTTATTTACTATCTAGTGATGGAAATGCCCCTATTGATTGAATTGGCATGGTACAGGTCAACACACAAATTGACCACATGGATACTAAATCTTCAGGTATAAGTTCATTTCCTAGTTGAACATCGTTGAAAGAAGACATATAATGAAAACTTTGAAACTTATGTCACAGGAAACTATGATGCTACAACCCTAGTCACAAGTGAAAATCTGGTATGTATCCTTGGATGACAGCTTAGTTTAATGCAAGTTAATATTTAATCCAAGTACTTTTGTATGTTTAGGATGATGCGTACAACAATACAATGACAAAGGTTGATGCTGCCAAAACTAAATTTGACAAGCTGACACAAATGAGATCTGAACTTGCCTCAGAACATCACAAGGTTTACACAAAAATCTAAACTTTTCATGTTAACAGAATTAAAAATAAATTGTGTATTGCACAAATTGTGAGGAATAGCAATGTACTTATATCCTTTTGATGTGAGTTAATAGTTAATCTCAAAGTGATGGTTTGTTCACAAATCTTTTTGTTTTACAGGTGAAGGAATCATTGGAGAAACTGAAGGGTAGAGTTGAAAATTTTAAGGTTAGTTTTCGTAACATATATTTTAGTTCTTTTCTGTCACCTTTGTTTGTCTTTGCTTACTACTTGGCCCCAATTCCACATTAAATCTGTGCCGATTATTTTCTTGTTGAATTGCGTTCTATGTTATCGTCTTAGTTTGTAGGGAAAATCACAAGAAATAGCAATGCACTTTATCTCTTACTCATTATAGCAATGTAGTTATTATAGCTTATTATTGGTAAAGAAATGTAAGTATGTTGCTATTAGGGGTAAAATATAAAGTACATTTTACAAGTATCAAGTCATATATTGCTATTATGGTTAAATACTTGTAAGTATAGTACATTGCTATTTTGGTGGGTTGCAGCCAAAACTAAGGGATATGCCTAGTGAGACCCTGGAAGAGGAGCTTCAAGCTCTTATTTCTGACAAGTCTGGAGAAACTCAGTATCATGAATCTATGCAAAACCAAATCGACACTATTAAGGTAACATAACCTAAATATGATGTTGAATTATTAGATTCCTAACAAAGAAAGTCAAGGAAATGAGACTTTCACCATTAAGTCATTAATTTTACTAATTTGCCCTCATCTACTTCTTTCTTCCATTTCTCCAAGTGCGTTGTCTTTTTCTCAAATATTCTTAAATATCATTTATCCACACAACACATGGAATTGATTTATTTATTTTTACCAAAAAACAATGTGTTTGAGTCAACTCAAAAGAATCAGTTTTTTGTGCAAAATGAAAGAAAAGATTGATTAAAATGATGTTTTGTTTGATCAGGGAATTTCACACATGGTTAAATGTGGTTGTGGAGAGGAGTACAAAGTAGAAGTGGATATTTGTTTGTAATAGAAACATGTCAAAACTCAACAAAAGGGTCTTTAGTCTTTACACAAAGTCCATTGTATGGAGCTTGAGTAAACTCACTAGTCATTGGCATACGTATGAGTGCAAAAAACTCCTTATTACTATTATATTAGATATGAATGCAATCAACTTCTTATTACTGTTATATGTTGTAATATAAAATAATTTAGGATGTTACACGCATGTAAATATTTTTTGGATGACTTTCCACTCGTTAAAAACGTATTTTGTATTAAAATGTTTTAATTCTACTTGTTTAAATATTGAAATTTAAATTTAAAAAGAATTGACTTATTTAAAAAATAGATCGAACTTACCACACTCCATGTTACTCAACAAAGAATTGTCACGTGGATGATCATAAATTGATAGGTAGGATCAATGGATGGATTAGATAGATAGATAGATAGATAGATTCTATGGATGGGTAGATTGGATATGTTTAGATGATTCAACTAATTTTTTTTTTTTTTTTTTTTTTGAAAAATCAAATGGACTTATCAAGATCATTTTAGTTCTCCAATAGAAATCAAAACTTTATTTACATGGGAAAAAAAACCATGCATGAACACATTTCTAAATACAAGATCATATAAGCAACTTTTTAAACTGTCAAAAAGATACTATTAACACCTTCGTGCTCTAGATTTCCACCTCCTTGTCTTTATTCAACCCTGAATCTTCATCTACATACAAAAAAAAAAAAAAAAAAAAAAAAGGTTTTAGCAAAAACATAAAAGTAGAAAGAAACCAAGTGATAAAGATACTTTACCTTGTGCATATCGTGACAGAGGGCTCATACCAACATCTTCATGGAGGCTTGATTTAAAAGTAGAAGTATATGTGAGCATGGACATGGATGGTGCTTGCAAGTTCAGGGTGGCCTTGTCTTGTCCAGATATCTGTTCAACTTCATTTATCAATCATCATATGAATATGAAATATAAAAAAATGTATGAAATTCACTCATTGAGTTTAAAGAGGAAAGTAATATGTGTTACTCCAAATCTCAAGGTTTTATTGTAAAGGGTGACAAGCCCAGTGAAAAGCCTGACAGCATAATCAGCAATCTCCTCTGTTTCATATTCTGCAAACGCAAAGCCTTTTGGTTTATCAGTTTCTTTATCTCGAGGAATGTGCAAATCAACTACACGACCAGCTTGAATAAGTATATCGTATAAAACCCTATCGCTTACTCGCTCATCCAAATTACCTGTATAAAAAATAATAATAATGATAAAAAAAATGAACATCGGTTATAACTAAATACTGACATAATTAGGGAGCTTTAACTGACCAACAATCATCTTTCAACCAAAAGTATAAAGAGTTATAGAAAAAAGGGAACCAGATCATGTCATCGAACAAGAATTCAGGAAGAAGACAAGTTTGAAAGCATACAGAATAACGTTTAGCCAAGCAAATGTGATCTACCTGTAAACTTGAAAACGCAAAACTCTGATTCTCCGAAGATTTTTAAGAAACTGAATTTCCAGTCCAAAAATCAATCAACCAAAATTAATTGCAATACAAACAATTAGCGGTAATAATCCCGATTGTTGGGACTGGTATTTAGAATCCGATACAAAATGCAATCAAATTACTCGACTAATGGTCGAAATGTAGCAACTGTGTTAAGGTAGATGTGAAAGTTACCAATATAAACAGTGCAGCTATCCCTAGGATCTGATGACATGATCGACTAAAGTATTGCCGCTAGGAAACAGACGAGAAGGTGGTGAATATCAATCTCGTACGATTTACGCTTTGTTTGGAATTGCGTTTTGAAACGACTTGATTTCTTATTTATCATGTCTTAATTTTCTCAATTATGTAACTCGTGTCTTCATAATATTCTCATAAATATGTATAAAACTAAATATATTTTTCATTTATTCGCCCAATCGTAAAATAAATGTATAAACAAATACCTGCACCAAAAATCAAACACATTATTTACACATTTGCTCAAACCCAAATAAATTTGACGTGAGCAAATTTGCATTTTATATGCCTTCTATTTTCTTTAAGGTAATGTAGTTTTATTTTTTATAATACAAGTATTTCAGATTTTGGGTCCATTTGTCACACTCGCATATTCCATCCCTATATAATAACGTTTTGCATACGGGAAATATGAAAATATATACATTTGTAACATAAGGTGCAACCGAGACTTTTTACGCTTAGTTTATACATACCGGATTTTCATTATTCGACTTTAATTGACCACCCAAAATTGAAACAAGTCCTGACAACTAAGCTTCACAAATTATATATTATGAAAACCAAATTCATTGTATAAAATTTTCGGTAACAACGTTGGGGGTCCACTCCACACTTCCACCTATTTGTCTTTATTCGATCTCACACTTTCATGTATATATATGTGGCAAATAATGAGTCGGTAACTTGTATATCATGCGATTATGAAAATTCATGTAAAATTTCATAAAATCCTAGACATTGTCAAAAACATAGATAATATGCAAAATAACATCTACATTATGAGCAAGATCTTCATTTCCTTGCTGTTTTATCCAGAACCTCAATATATTTCTTTGGGATCCCATATTGCTCAACGAGATATCTAGCAAGTACATCAATCACCCCGCCTTGAACAAGAACCTCATACCCCTTCTTCCCTGGTTACAACAACAAAAAGTTAGAATGAGGAGGGCATTTACGTATTTTGCACAGACAAGACAAGACAAGACAAAACATCAAGAGAAAGTCTATGTCCCACCATTTGGGTGGAGGACAAAAAGTTGCAATCTTTGTCCCATAAATGTTTGTCATGTCAAACGCAGTACAACCTGGTCTGTACTATTACAACTACAAAGTACCTGGCATTTCGGTGACGGAAGTACTACAAGCAAACTTCTTCTGCAATTCCGATGCCAACGGCTCGGCATCAATCAAAAACGATTCCATTCCGGAGAGCTTTGTCACCTTCTTGTTTCCTTGCCTTCTTTCCGTCATTATCTGCATCGCCTTCAAACCACCTTTTCTCACAACCGATTCCTTTCCTCTCGTGACTTGGTGATGCGCTTGCATTCTGTTTATAAATGTCGGTGCCAAATCCTTCTTGTGTATTTCCGAAGGGTATGTCGATCCTTTCTTAATAGCTCCCTTAAACAACGCATCACATAAGATTGCATCCAAAACAACAATCGACTTATTTGTCGGTTTGACCAGGTTTTCCTTTTCCACGTAGGCAAACACCACTTCGCTTGCTTCAGATGCGGTGTACAGCTGGCGGGTGTCGGCCCCCACAGAGGTGAAAATGGGATTTACATGAACACTTGGTTTGTAAATCTCTATGACCTCCATTGTTGTGTTGAGATCGGTTTCATTACTGGGATGATCAACGGTTTGTTCGGTTTTCTCCACTTGTTGTTTTTCGGGCTTAAAAGAAGTGTAAACCGGATGCTTTCGGTTAATGGACAAAACCATGACTTCTTTTTTATGTTTATCTTCTTTTGATGATATCTGCAAGTCAACAAAAGTCAACATGAGATGAGGAAAACAAAATTTTGAAAGTCATTAGGCTTACCAATCCTTCAGTAGACTTGGATTGTAACCATTTTGATAACTTTTTGTGTGAAGATTTCTTTATATCCAACACAGTTCCCGATGGCCTACATGGTAAGACATGATTCGCCCTACAAAAGAAATAAAAAGTGTCTTAAACCATTCAGACATGAAACTATGATATCTTACATAAATGTATATCAGATATTTACCATAATGTACTTCCGGCAATAGGAAGATCTTTATCCTTCATGGTAGTGTAAAAGGCTTGCAAAAGGCATTTGTCCAAAAGTGCATCTACGTCCTCAACCGAAAGGGTATTTTGGTCTTCTGCTGCAGTGCCCTTATCACTTTCAACATTTTCTGTTACCTTTAGATTATCAAGATCAGTGATTACTTGTTGGGAGATTTTTGTGTTTGAAGATGAATCATCCAGGTCATCAATGATGGCATTGGCCACCTCTAATTCTTGGTTGTCTGCATTATTTACATGATCACTTATTGCATCAGTAGTTGAAAGAGAGGGATCCTCAAACACTACATCTTCCAGAAACCCAGCATTGGGCACATATCGACCTTCAGCTGATTCCCTAAGGACATTTATGGAATTTCAATTTATCAGTGAGTTCAATGAGTCGATTTGGATTATATTTATAACAAAAAAAAATGGATGAAAGTCCATTGCTTTTCTTGTATTTACCAAAGGGCATCTCGGTAGTGATGACTAATCTTTAAAGCCTTTCCACGGAGACCAGCTTTTAAAGCCTCAGAGCTGCTCATGCAGGTAGACCCAACCTATAAAAAAAAGAAAAAAAAAATTACATATTTGAATATTTCTAGAAAGTTCCGGAAGGAAAGAGTGTGGATGCTGACTGCAATTGGAGCTGGATTCCCAGGAACTTTAACTGCCCATGGCTGCCCGGCTAAAAACTCAGGGAGACCCTCTGAATCTATACTGATGCCCGGAAACATCAAATCTGCCCCTCCAATCACATATCTGGAAACCTCTCCCCCCTTTCAGAATGAAAGAGGGTAGAAGATGAGGAACTTTCCATAATGCATACACTGCATTTCCGGATCAATAATGTTAGAAAATGGTAGTCTAGTGACCTAATTGAAGTTTATAGTCAATTATTTTTCAAAGAATCTGTTGTAGTTGACTACCTGTTGGAAATATGGTTGTGCCTCTGCTATCAACATCAAAGAAAATTGGCAATCCACCTTCCAAACTGTAAATAAGGACACGGTTTGGGTGCTTTGAGACTGTTACCTCTACCTACAATAAAACCATAACATATTTATAGGCATCCATTAAGTTATGTGTCCATTTCCATTCCAATTATAATCATAATCAAGTGGCAAAATCATCAGTTTAAACACACATTCAAACGCCTCCATATTCTTAAATGCAGGATGATCAAAACCAACATCAACAATGTGTTTGTGCTAACATTCTCATCTCAAATGTTTTATATTTTCCAGATTGAAGCAAATGTCGTTTCTAAAAGATCAAATTACCTTGAATTAATAACATGTTGTTTCATGGTTGGCTATAATTAGGGCAACCCACTACTCACTAAGTAAAAGATGAATTGATTTACTACATACATTAGAACCAACAATAATATTATCAGAGTAACTGAATCCAGATTAAAAAATTGAACCTACACCATTCACCAAAATAGCATGTTACAAAGACGAACTCGTAACCAATCAATTAGAAGAAGAAGCAAAAGGAACCCCGTGTTGATGACTATATCATAGGAATCGATTCAACAAAAATACGAAACGAAAGGAGATAAACCTTAGGGGGGATTAAAGTGTCGAGGTCGGAATCGGAAGCAGCCGGGAAGCGTTCTTTGATGGTTCGCTTCAACTTCTTACGATCTGCTCCCGATAATCGCTGCTGCGCTTTTGCCTCCACTGATTTCTTGAACATTTCTTTAAATCAAAACAACTCTCGTTGATTGTATCTTTGGCTCACTGCGGGTATGCCGAGCTTACAAAGGAAGAACGCAGGGCAGGAAAAAGGCGAAGCTTGAAGAATCGCTCTACCGCTTTGGAGGCGCTTTTCTTAATTTCCCCAGGTTATCTGTTCATTGTCATTATAAGTCACTAGGTTCTTCTTTTTTACAAATTGATACGACTAAAGGGAGTGGTGCCAAATGTTTTAAAAACCGGTTCGAAGCGGCCGGTCAAACCGATTGAATCAGGCTCCAGGGAAAAACGGTTCAAGTATCATCCGGTTTACGTCAATTTTTAGACCGAATAGAACCAGATGGTTTGACCAAAACCGGGTTGAACCATGGTCATAAAACCGGTAAAAAATGTTTGAACCGATGTATTTGACTTGGATTTTACTTAGTCCGATAACACAAACTCATTCCAACACGGTTTGAATAGCGATAAGCCATTAGGTTATCTAGTTTAAGCATCATATACGCCAATCTTCTTCCCATTCAAGCATTTAGACACCTCATTTTTACCATATCTCTCCTACTTATTTGCAATTTTGCATGGTTTATCATGTCACATTTTTTTTAACTCTATTTAACCATTTTAATTTAGATAAAAACTAAAATTTTCATTATTTTAAAATTAAATTACAAAACATTAGATTATAAACTAACATAATAAGAAAGATAAACCTTGCATGTTATATTTTTTTTCTTGATTTCAGCTTACCGCCTAAGCCAATTTACGCTGCTCCTTGGTGAAGTTATTTATATAATGGAATGTGGGTGGTGAAAAAATAGGTCGGCATATTTAGGGATGAGCATGGTGCAGTTTGGTGCGGTTTTTGGCCAAAATCGAACCGCCAACCGCAGATATGGTTTTTTCCAACCATAAAACCGAATGGTGCGGTTTTTTAGATGTGCAGTTTTTTTGGTTTTTTATGCGGTTCAGTTTCATGCGGTTACGATTCAGTTATTAACCGCATAAATTATGTTGCATTTTTTTCTATAATTCTATGAAAACCATATGGAACAGTCATTTCAATAAGTTAAAACAGAAACCGGTCAAGCCATTGGTTTGGCTAGGTGGAAAAATCATTGGATTTTTCAACCAGCCAAACCCAAAGGGTTCCGAAAAAACCCACACGATTTACAGAAAAAATCAGAACAATGAATCCCATTAACCGTTTTTTGTAAAATAAAAACATTTGAAACTTTGAACTAACAAATTAGCAATTTGCTTGCCGATGAGTCTGAGATCGCAACTACTATAGCTTTGTCATTGTTCAAGCATACACATATATGATCGACGCATTTCCTCTATCATTTTATACTAGATGTCTGCACGTGCAAAGCGGCGTTGATAAATAGTTTTTTTAGCGAATAGTTTCTTACGGGAAAATAATTATTACATTTTATTATTAGTTATTATGTAATAAAAAATTACCAATTTTTAGTAAATATATTTATGTTTATACCTTATATTTATATTGTTTTTTGTACTATAGATGTAAATTAGTTAATATTGGTGTCTAGTTTAAGAAATGTAAATAAATTTATATACATGAACTTAATATTTAAAAATTTTCATTTTGCTCCAAATTAAAATTCTTAATTACTTTCATTAATTCAAGTCTACAAACTTTTGACAATATTGATGAATTATTTATGCATAATTTATTTGTACAAAAAAACTTTGTAACTTATATCTCATAAAATTCAAAATACGACTAATATGCTTTATAATATAGTATAAGATAAGTGTTCATCCATCATCTACTTTATGTTGTTCACCGATGTGGGAAAGAAAACGATACACATATGCTTTTAAACCAAAATATAGTTAACAATTCCTTAAGAAAAATACTACTCTCATATTTTATTAAATCTATTTTCTTAAAGACTTATATATATATATATATATATATATATATATATATTATATATATATATATATATATATAAAAGTAGGTTCATGCGAACACATAAATATTTTACGAAAACGCGAAAACAGATTTTATCTTATAAAAATCAAACACATGTACTTTAGAAATTAAATTTATTAGCAATAAATTAAAGATACAAAGTTTACATGGGAGGTGTTATGGTAATATAGATTTAAAGGTGGTTTTAACAATTGTTTCTCTTTTTTTCACGTCCTTAACCAATTTTAAATTCAAGTTTTCATAATAAAAAGTCAAAAAATATGCTTTACTATATGAAACAATTTCTCATCTATCATCGATTATCATCATGTAGTTTAAAATTTGGATGGAGCTCGCTCTTTGACTTTCCGAGAGTTTCAGGCATATGGGGGTCCAGAGTTCTTCGGGAAGAAGGACCCTATTGCGAGCTAGCGTTGGTTAGCGGATATCACGAATGCCTTCCGTACTAGCTTCTGCTCTGAGGAGTCGAATGTCATATTTGCATCATGTCTTCTGAAAGACAGAGCTCGTGATTGGTGGAAGGAGTTTGACCACGCCCTGGGAGGCGAGGCGGTTTGATTCGATGACTTAGGAGGATTTTGTAACGAGGTTCCGAGCTGAGTTCGCACCTGTGATTGAGGTCCAGCAGCTGGCGAGGGACTTTCAGGACCTTCGCCAGACTACTCAGACGGTAGCGGAGATCACCGCCATGTTTTCGTGAGAGGGATTTGTTGGTACCGCAGGATGTGGAGGACGAGGAGATGAAGAAGGCAAGATATCATGACATGTTGAGGAGCGATATCAGACAGTTCGTGAGCATATCCAGTTGCAAGACACTGGATGACATAGTAGCGAGAGCCAGAGAGAGGGAGATTGATCTGGAGATAGAGAATAAGAGGAAGTCAGATCAGGTTCAGGGTTCAGAGAGTTCGGGCAAGAGGCCCAATGTTTTTGATTCGATATCGAAGGGCCAGCAGGGTTGGGGTTGTTGTAGCAAGTGTGGCAATACGCACAATGGAGCTTGCATGGTGGGTGGTTTGGGCTGCTACAAGTGCGGCAAGACTGGCCACTTTAGCAGGGATTACACTGCCACCAACCAGGGATCGAGTTTGATTTGCTTTCATTGCAATCATAGGGGCCATAAAAAGGTCGATTGCCCTAGTCTAGTAGCGGTGGGACCAGATGCAACACCCGTTTCGGCGACATTGAGGATCACAGATGACCGCCAAGGCAAGGCGGAGGCACCTATTGTAAGGAGGAGGGAATTCCAGCTGACAGCCGAGGAGGCTCATGCAACACCATATATGGTGACGGGTATGTATCTTCTCCTTATCTCTTTATTTATTTTGTTTTTCCTACGTATATTTGTAGGTTGATTTTAGGGTCGTTCCTTGTGAACGGTATCTCCGCTCTAGTTTTGTTTGATTTGGGGGCTACCTGATCCTTTGTATCTCTTGCGCTTAGCAAGAGGTTTTCGATGCTCCAGGGGAGCTGGATTATCCATTAAAGGTTGAGATTGTCGATGATTGTCCCGTGCGAGTATCGAGGGTTCATCGGGGATGCACTTTGGATTTGTTCAGCGAGTAGTACCCGATATATTTGGTTCCCATTCCCCTGCTCGAGAGCACGGTTATTGTAGGGATGGATTGGTTGATCCCCAATGAGGAAATGATTGATTACGAGCATCATTTGGTGCGTATCCAGACCCCAAGTGGGGGAGAGTTCGTGATTCATGGAGAGGGTTCTCAGTGTGGTCCGACTCTCTACTCGGCAGCAAGGGCCAGACGTTATCTTCAGCAGGGTTGTCCCGAATTTGTGGCTTAAGTGATGGATACTCGGAGGAGGGTAAGGTGACTGTGGGAAATGTACCAATTGTTCAGGAATACCCAGATGTTTTCCTGCAGGATTTGCCTGGAGTGCCTCCGGAGAGGCAGGTGGAGTTTCGGATTGACTTGGTTCCAGATGCGGCTCCGATAGCCAAAGCACCTTATCGGTTAGCACCTCCAGAGATGCAAGATTTGTCTATACAGCTGCAGGAGCTGTTAGATAAGGGATTTATTCGGCCGAGTAGTTCACCATGGGGATCGTCGATCTTGTTTGTGAATAAAAATGATGGGTCGCATCGGATGTGTATCGATTACTAGGAGTCGAATAAGCTAACAGTGAAGAACCGTTATCCACTCCCAAGGATCGACAATTTATTTGACCAGCTTCAAGACACATCTTAGTTTTCCAAGATTGATCTGCGTTCAGGTTATCATCAGATGAGGGTCAGCGAGGAGGATACACAGAAGACGACCTTCTGAACTCGTTACGGTCATTACGAGTTCGTGGTGATTCTTTCGGGCTCACCTATGCTCCAACAGCTTTCATGGATCTCATGAACCGCGTATGCAAGCCTATGTTGGATCGGTCTATGATTGTGTTTATTGATGACATCCTGGTCTATTCCAAGACTCAGGAACAACATGAGGAACATCTGAGAGAGTTTTTGGAGACTTTGAGGAGGGAGAAGTTGTATGTGAAGTTCTCCAAGTATGAGTTTTGGTTGTGCGAGGTGCAGTTTCTGGGGCACCTTGTCAACCAGAACGGTATCCTGGTTAACCCGGTCAAGGTTGAGGCAATGATGAGGTGGGAGGTTCCGAGGTCTCCATCAGAGATTCAGAGTTCCCTTGGGTTGGCATGTTACTATCGGAGATTCATTCATTATTTCTCCAAGATAGCGGTTCCTTTGACCCGGTTGACGAAGAAGACTGTCACCTTTCGTTGGGGGCCTGAGCAACTGGCAACTTTTGAGACTCTGAGACAGAGGTTGTGTGAGCCACCGATCCTGACACTGCCATAGGTTGTTGATGACTTTGTGGTATATTATGATGTGTTGATCACGAGTTTGGGTGCAATCTTGATGCAGCGGGTCATGTGATTGCATACAATTCGAGGTGGCTGAAGTCTCATGGGGGAACTACCCTACGCATGATTTTGAGTTGGGGGCAGTGGTTTTCGCCCTCAAGATTTGGCAACATTACCTCTATGGGGTTCTTTGTACCATTTACACGGATCACAAGAGTTTTAGATACTTGATGGATTAGTCGAATCTTAACATGAGGCAATGTAGGTGGGTGGATGTGGTGAAGGATTATGATTGTGAGATCCTTTACCACCCGGGGGAAGGCCATTGTGGTGGTCGATGCTCTGAGC